TGAATAGAATCCTAAGAAAAATGTAATATAAAAGATAAAAAAAAGATACAATAATTAATAAAGATATAGAAAAATATATACATAAGTAATTATGTTAATGTGACATGTGAAATTTATTTTATGATGACAAGTAAGTGCAATAGTATTGAACTCAATTTTTATATTATAAGTAAGTTTAATTAATGATTTTAAGTTTAAATTTTAAGTATATTATTACATCAAATAGTCGAAATTAAGATCTTTGTGATACATAATGGTGTTAATTGCTTCTTGAATATCATTGCTTCTTGTAGAGAACATCTCTCAATCACACAAAAATAAAAAATAAAATAGAGTAATAGAATACAACGCGTCTTTAACTTTTATATATATAAACAGAGAGAGACACATAATGTAAGAATGAGAGAAATAACATTAATTAATTAATTAATTATGATTATATAACTTTACAAAAATCTGAGTTTGGTTTTATTTAAATAATTAATTTCATATTGATATGATTAACATTAGTGATGAGTATACATTTGTATTGGTTTAGAAACTTCTTAATCGATTTTTCTTTGTTGTCAAATCTTATTTAGGTAGAAAATTTAAATATTACACAATTTTTATCACATGTTTTTGTCTATTTTAATTTTTTTGGGAAGCATGTCTCTCTCTACTAGTTGGCGTGAATATGCAGGCTATTTCATGTTTTTGATTGGATTTATGTGCATGAATGACTCAAAAAGAAAGCGAAGAATTGATGAGGAAGAATTACATGCAAAAGGAAATTTTTAAAAATGTAAAAAATTTTGGTGTAAAAAATTAGAAACATATAGAATTGGAATTTGAGAAATAAAAAAATCTTCATATGATGATCAACATATGATCATCACAGTTTAAATCATAGTGAAAATAGAATGATAATAAACTAGAGTTCGAAAACTTGAAAGTATAGAAAATAATTCTATAGCATACAAAATTATACCAAAACATACATGAAAGTCAAACAATCCAAAACAAACATGTATCTCGCTCACAACATGTCCACCAAAATTTTCATCAATGTACATGACACGCCACAACATATATCATATGTGAACACATCAGCTAATATGTCGTCACACATTGACTTACAAAGATCTCCTAACAACATGCATGAACAATCTAAGTGACTCTACGTACCCTATTGAACCAATCCAATCATTTTTGTACCCAAAGCGTCGTCTTGATCACAATAAATTGGGATAACAATCTCTCATCTAGCTTCTCAGGTTTTGTCACTTATACTAAAAAAATTCGGTTCCACCATTAAGAATGGTACAATTAGATATAGATTTACCATGATCTTAGCATGCATTACCAAGTCACATATTGAATTCGCACACTAATTATCCTTAAAGAACCACACAACCTTTTTAGGTACTTAGTTAAGGGTTGTAGCCCTCAACCTTCTACCTTACTCAATCACTAACTAAGGAATTAGAGGAGACATTAACACACCTCAAAACTCACTTCAAGAGATACACTTACCTAAGGAGGATTTTCCAATAGTAGGCACCCCTCCAAGATTTCCTATGTGAAATCTTTAGTTTTCAAAACATTTTCCTCTACTCAAGTCCTAAGTTTGCCATCATATTTTAATTTCATGCTGCATTTTCAGCATCCACACCTCGTCATACATCATTTATATACATCACATTTAGTCAATGCATATAAAGATTAACAACATCATACAAGTGTACAACATATATATGCTCATCATCATCTAACACCACACAAACATCTACATATGTCTTATCCAATCAACATATAAAGAACTACAATCTTCATAATTTATACAACATTTAATGATTAACAATTAAATCATCACCATACATTATCCCATATCAATGTACAATCAACATATAAGGTATTAAACTAACCTCCGTTCTTACTTTGCATAACATCCATCTTACAAAACGAAGGAGGGTCTAGGCGCTTCAAGTGCCCCTAATCCTTACTCTGGGCAATGCAATTCCACTCTAAGCTCCTAGAAACTCGCTTGGAGTGAGTCCAAACAAAGAGCACTCTTGAAGTCTCACTCTTGTCACTCCATGAGACACCACCCTTGCTTTAAGTGACCAAATTTGCTCAAAGTACACCCAAATTTACCTTAAGTGAGCAAAGTCAGGGACTACCTCTCTGAACTTCCACCTCCATTCGCTCTTAGCAAGTGAATTCTTGCTCCAAGCCACTAAAACTCACTTTAAGTGATCACAATTCACTTTGAATGAGCTAAGTCAAAAACCATCCCTGACCTGGTCACACCTACTTGCTGAGAGCGACCCCATGGATACGCTTAGCGAGCAAGTCCATAAACATGCACATTTGAAGTTCAAGAACAACAACTCAACAACCATGTTCACCATCACAAACCTAACCAATTCATACCACAATACAAACATGCAACTCCAAAATTTGCACATATACATCCTCAACAATTCATTATGGACCATAATCCTAACAAGTAACAACAAATTCAATTATGATCATCTAATTCATCTCAACAACCTCAAGAACAATCAAAACCCCTTTTCATCATTCGATTTTAAAAAAAAGTTTCATCTATACATTCACCTATTATCAGAAATAGTGGCCTGCAATTCAATCATTTCTTTCATGATCAATCTTAACTTTCGTTACCTCGAAATCCAAGCTTTCTAAAGGAGAAGAAAAAAGGAAGAGAGGAGAAGAAGAGAGGAAACTCAAAGCTTCCAACCTCCACTAGCTCCACACCATACCACAACAGTGATCTTTCAAGATTTTAAGCTCTGCCACCAAGCTTCCAGTAGCAAACTCCCTCCCTAAAGAGTTTGTACTCTTAAGAAGAGAATGAGAAAATAACTCAGAAACTTCACTTGGTTTCCCACAAAAAAAACCCAATCAAATAATAAGAAGCTTAGCGTTACATAATAATGACAATTTTATTGTAATTATCTAATTTTTAAAATGGTTTTTTAAAAAATAATCTATTTTTGAAAATACAAAGAGCTACTACAGAAATTTATTATAGAAATGTCATTAAAGCTAAAGATGTTTAATCTGTGAGACAGATAATAAGGATATTGCATCTTTGTTATCAGATTGAAGAACTGATATGACAATAATGCAGGTTTATTCGAAGCACCTATTTGAATTATACGAGATTTTGGAGAGAGATTGGAATTGGAACATCATTTGTGATTTACATGAGGCAAATATAGTAGCAGATTTGCTGGCTAGCAGGGGAGCTCAGCACCTCCATTGGGAACATCATTGTAATCACCCCCAAATGGTGTTTTATTAGCTTTTAGGAGTAATCTCACTTAACTTTAATTTATTTATGCTTTATCTTATTTTTCCCCTTTACAAGAAAAAAAAAAGCTAAGACTTTTAATGACAATTATATCGTAAAACCATTATTTTAATTAAGGCACACAAAAAACCTATAATAATGGTTTAATGTTTTTTTTTCTTCTGTATAAATATTTTTTTTTAGTACTACAACAACTCATTCACTACCCTGAGTCAAACTTCCTTAAAAAATCTATACTATAATGCGGATAGGCAGATATATCCATTTATTTTAATTATCAGTATATATTTAAAAATATTGTATTTTTCACTCTTAAATTTATATATTGAACTCACATACACATTTTTTTTTTCGACATGTATGTTTTTCTCTTTATATTTATGATGATTATTAATTTTTTTTTTAAATTACCCACTGAACTAGAATCAGTTTATAACAGTTTAATATAAACTTACTATTAACGGCCTTAATTTTTAATAGTGATCCTGTACTTGATCATTGTTGTAGATCTCAGTAAAAAAAAAAAAAAAAAAAAAACTTTATATTATATATATACTGCTAAACTTCAAACAGATGAGATTTGTCATTCTCCCAAACAAACATGGCCACAATAACATAGTTACATCTCATTTCTTTCACACTCCTATCCATTTATATGTTTTTAAAAAGGGAAAGAAAATTTTCTTTCCTCGCGATCTGTCCACTATATTAACCTTACAAAGAATGAAGTACAAAGAAATAAGGAGTGGCTTCACATGCTTTTTCCGTCTAGCAATTGGTTGGACTATTTGAAATAAAAATATAGATTGTCATAATGTAAAAATTACACATTTTAAACTTTTCTTTAAATTGATTAAAATTCAATTTAAATTTGAAGTAAAGTGATTTTATTTAAATTTTTTGCATTTTAAAAGAAAATTAATAGTAAAACACAGTATAAACTTTTTTTTTTCAGTACAAAAATTAACTAAAGTTATTTCAATTCAAACTCGAATTTAAAATTGTAATCAACAATTCAATAATCAATATAGAACTAAAAATGTAAATATTTATCTATAGTCATATTAGTTTGTATTTCAATGTGAATTCCAAACACACCTAAACCTACTTTAATTAATGAGCAAAAAGCTAATTTAGTTTGAGTTCAATCAAACATTTTTTTTTCCTGATTAAATGCACGTACTTCTGATTGCCTCTACACTTGAGTTTGACTCCCTCTAATGTCTATCCAAATATATAGGCTAAATGCAATGAATAAGTTCAATCAAGCCTCCATATGCTAAACTTCTTTATGTCCTGCGCCTAAGAATGCTCTTTTATTTCCCCTTAAAAGAAAAGGAAGAAAAAAAGTGAAAAAGAAAATAATGTTCTTTTTACTAATAAAAAAATGAATGTTGTTGTTAACCTGACACTAGTATATATGTGGCAATATTAAAGCCGGTAGGTGATGAAAGTGAACATAACCTAGTAACTCCTTATTTCCTATTCAAGCGTAACCAGAGTTCGATGAAATAGTAAATATGTGAAGCAGTTAGACTAAATTTTGAGGCGTGACCAATGTGATGGATGATGATGCTGTGGAATTATGGCAAGTTATGACCTATATATTTATTTTGGTTACATATAGGCCACCCTATATAGTTAGTAGGCTAAAAATTGGACAAACAAGGATTAAGTTCAACCTTTTGGGGTACTAAGATTAGGTACAAACAAGATATATGAGAAAGTATGTCAAATTAGCATGCAAGCACAAAAGTTTGCCATTTTTTTGTTTAGCTGATTAAACATATTATTGTGGGTATACGGCATAGAGATGAAAACCAAAACATAAGGCAACCTTTTTCAGGTTTCGGTTTTTATTTCCTCTCTTGCACTATTGTTTTATCCCTTTTGGTACCCTAAGCAAAGAGACCATTTAAGAAAGCACTCTCATCTATTAACCAATACAGGAAAGGGGAGTTCCAGATCGAGAGAGAGAGAGACTAAAAAGATGGGAAGAGGGAGGGTTGAACTGAAGAGGATAGAGAACAAAATTAACAGGCAAGTCACATTTGCTAAGAGGAGAAATGGGTTGCTCAAGAAGGCTTATGAGCTCTCAGTACTTTGTGATGCTGAGGTTGCCCTCATCATCTTCTCTAACCGTGGCAAGCTTTATGAGTTCAGCAGCACCTCAAGGTATATAATATAAAGTATAAACTCTATTTGATTGCTTATGTGTGTCTTGATCATCTTTGTATGAATGAGTGCAAACATGTTGGCAATGACTTCTTTCTTGTGCACAAATGTTTCTGTTAATTTGGAGCATTTTTTGTGCAAGATCTGTGCTTCAAAAGTTTAATTCCTCTTACCTACTATTTGCTGATTGAATCAAACTACATATAAATGATATAATCAAGTTTTTAGCAACTCACCCCCAAAAATAAATAGGTCCTTTTCGCATCCCAAGATGTTTCTATTTTATTTTCTTCCCTTTTTCCTGACTTGTGGGAAGTGTAAAGTTCCGATCTTTCCTATCTGTTTGTTTTCCACAATTTTGTATTCAACAAAACAAAGTGTTTCATTTAATTTCTGCACGTCATGTGAAGATCTGAAACTCCTTCTTTTAACCCCTCTAAGGGAAGTCAAAGTGGGAAAATTTTCATTTTTCTGTCTATCAGATGTTGTTTTGAGGAAGCTGCTGCTATTTCAGCTGGGACATACCCACTTGGACTAGGGCAAGATCATTTCTGGAATAGAAGAGTGCAAAAGTGAATTTGGCTTCCTATCAGTCCTCTTAAATTTTTGCCGAAGTGTATTAAATTTGTTTTTAAATTCAATCAACCATGAACTGACCCTAATAATAACTATCTGAATTGATTTTTGTGTTTTTGAAAATTTCTGATTGAAAAATTCTAGATCCTCCAAAATCACATTTCGAAAGTTGTTTCGAATCCTTAAAAAATTAATCTAAATTATAAAATATTATATTAAATAATTATTTTATAATAAATTTATTGAAAAGTGTGAATATTTTAAAATTTCGGAAGCTCCTTCAAATTCTTTTCGGAGGATTTAATCCACTTTCAAATTAGAGAGATAGAGCATTAACAGACCAGGCCAGGATTTACTGTTACGATTTGGTGTCAGAGATGGGATGTTTGATGAGAAAACCTGTTTTACTTTGCATTAAGGATGGCTCAAAAGAGTGTCCTTTAGCTTGTAAGGCTGTGAATCAACATCTACGGTCTATCCTCAAAACCGTTGTGGAATAGCTGGTTTGATCTACAATACTAGAAGACAAAAACACTGTTCACACTTTCAGAAAAAATTATTTTCGTTTTTTAGAAATTACATACTGATTAATGACTTCATATCGTTCAAATCAAACAATAGGAAATTATGGTTGGAGCTAGCAAGTAACCACTAATCAAACAAAAACTCGTACATTTAATTTAAGGTGTTTTGATCCCTTTCACTTATCCATTAATCTCTACATTTTCTTTCTTCTGCTTCCTCTTTCCTTCAACCAATGACCTTGTATAAAACATCTTCTTTTCTTCTATTAGAATTAATCTCTAGCTCTTATTAAACACTGGAAATTTTGGTGCTCGATTGTGCAAAGTTTTGTCTTAGCTAGGCTTCACGACTTTGGGGATATATACATATATATATATATATATATATATATATATATATATGAATATTAATGTAGCTGTCAGTTTTCTATCTAGATGCGTCATTCTATTCAAGTTTTCATAATACTAGTTATTAATGTCCCCGAAACTTCCGTATATAATGTTTATTGTCATTGTTTTTATGACCATAGGATCATTGTATGGCCTCTAAACATAAACTAAGAAAGCTTAATGGCTAAAAATATTTTTTGCTTTAAATTTACTTGGTAGAAGGTTTTCTTTTTTTCCCCCTCATCCAAGTAAGAATTACAATAAACTTTGTGCACATAGCCCCGCAATCACTTTTTCATGTAGAAATATACCTTAATTTTGATCTTAATGCATGTCATTAAATTATTACTTTTGGTTTGGTTTAATTTTTCTCTGTCAATAATTTTTTAAAATTATAATCAAATTATAACAATATTAGAAGAACATATTTATAATACTACCTCAAGTCCTTAATGTTGAATAATTTGGATTTTAGCATTTTAGGCTTGTTAGCATACTATGGCCGGAAGATGTTACACATTGAGGTTGTAGGTAGGGTGAAAAAAGAAAATGAAAAAGTTTGAAGCAGTATATAAATATATAATTTACTAAGTTTATTATGTGATCAATAATCTCTATTGTATTTAACTAATCGTACACTTACAAATTAAACAACCATTTGGACATATAATATAAAAAACATCTGCTAAAATGATTCCTTGTCTTCCAGTCAATGTCATTATTATTGTTAAAAAAGTTCTATACGGACACAGTGCCAGAATCAAATCAAGAAAACATTCGAAGTATAAGCAATTTCAGTTAATTAAAGCATATATATCAAGAAGTTTTGCTGCTGTAGCGATGCATGAGTGTGAAATGAATCAGTGGTGATGTTTTACTAGCTCCTAAAAGCGACAGTATACTTTTCCCTTCAAATAATGACTCTTTTAAAATCTAAAAGGGAATATTAAAGTTTAAACCCTAGGATATTCTAATAATGATGGTTAGTGTCACAGCCTTTTGTTTGCTTGTTTTATGTATGTGTGCCAATTGATTCATAACATATTCGCAGTGACTTGTGTTGCTTACTTTTGGATCAACTCATGCGTGTTTACATTTTCTGAAAACTTGAAGGACAAGAGAAAGAAAAGTCGTTATGATTCCATTATTAGCTAGATAAAACCCCTGGAGCAGTGAATTCCTAGTAAAGCTGGCCATTATTAGGCTCCATGGTTACAAACTATTTTAGTGCGTATTTATTGTGTGTTTTAGATGTGCGAATTAAACTTGATTCTAACAGAATTTAGAAAATTCACACACCTTACTTAATCAATTGAGTTAGACCTCTCAATCCTATTATGTATGTATATATATTTGTTTACCAATCATAATCGAATGTTTTGTACAAATAATATTGTATGAAAACTTTTGTAAAAATTAATGGTTTGTAGTCATGATGGCACGTCCATAATAATTTGATAATGCTTAATGATAAACATACTTAAACTTGCTGAGTTAATTACTACCAATTAACAATGTTGCAGAATATGCATCCACATGCATTTTTCTTTGTTTAGGGTTTGAAGGGGTACACTACAGTATTAATTTTCTGACTCCAAATATGCGGTTTTCAAATTTAATTGCTTTGTAATTTTTTGTTTAAAAAAATATCAAAATTTCTCCTTCACAAAACAATGATCTGATACCTTGATTGAATTATTACTTTATGGCACAGTATGATGAAAACACTGGAGAAGTACCAGAAGTACAGTTACAGTGCACTGGAGACCACCAGACCAATCAACGACACTCAGGTAAGTCTTCACTTTTCACATATTACGAGAGATAATTTTCTTACTTATACAAATATTTCATAGAGTTTATGAATTCTCGTCATATTTTTTTCTTTTTATGTTGTGTGTGCGAATGTGAGATATATTCTGACTGTCCAATAAGTTGATTTTTTTACCAAAAATATCAATCGAAAGGTTATGTCAAAAAAATTATTAATTTCCATCCAATGCCAGCACTTAAAGGGCAATCCCTAGTTCTTATTAGTTTTAGTTATAGGCTTGTAGCTAAGTATACCTTCTTATGATTAAGAATTGTGCAGTAATATTTTAGGTTGAATATATCTTTGGTGGCTGTTAGTCTCCTTAACGTTGCACTTGAACATTGTTGGTTGAATTAGGGGTGTTATTCATTTTTACCAGTTTTGTTAACTATATATATATATATATATATATATATATATATAT